GAAGAATTAAGGACTACGATTGAAAACTCGGAACATGGAACTGCAAATCGCTCGGCTTCCCGGGTTGCGATAGGTTATTCTATGACGAACTTCAACCACACAACTTCGAAGTCGTAGCACTGCAGGAACTTTGCTGGACGGGACAAAAGGTATGGAAAAGCGGGCATCGAGCGGCTACTTTCTACCAGAGCTGTGGCACCACCAACGAGCTGGGAACCGGCTTTGTAGTGTTGGGTAAGATGCGCCAACGCGTGATTGGTTGGCAGCCGATCAACGCGAGGATGTGCAAGTTGAGGATTAAGGGCCGTTTCTTCAACTACAGTATCATCAACGTGCACTGCCCACACGAAGGGAAATCCGACGACGAGAAAGAAGCGTTCTATGCGCAGCTGGAGCAGGTGTACGACGGCTGTTCGCAATGGGACGTCATAATCGTCATCGGCGACATGAACGCTCAGGTAGAACGGGAGGCAATGTATAGACCGGCAATCAGGCCAAACAACCTGCATGCCGTATCGAACGACAACGGCCAACGATGCGTGAACTTTGCAGCCTCCCGGGGTATGGTAGTTCGAAGTACCTTTTTCCCCCGCAAGGATATCCACAAAGCCACCTGGAGATCACCTGACCAACACACAGAACACCAAATCGATCACGTTCTAATCGACGGGAAATTCTTCTCCGACATTATCAACGTCCGCACGTACCGCAGTGCGAACATAGATTTGGGCCACTGCTTAGTTGCAGTATGCTTGCGCTCAAAACTCTCGACGGTGCATAACTACCGTCGAAGTCAAACGCCGTGACCCAACAGCGAGCAACTACGGGACGCCGGAGTTGCCCAGGACTACGCGCAGCAGCTGGAAGTTGCACTACCCACGGAAGAGCAGCTTGGCGTAGCTACTCTCGTATATGGCTGGAGGGACATCCGTTCCGACATAGGTAGTACTGCTGCAGCGGCACTAGGTACTGCAATCCTGGACCGAAGAAATGAATGAATGCAAACTGTTAGTAGAGGAGAAGAATGCAGCACGGGCGAGAATGCTGCAACACCGCACGACATTGAATGTGGAGCAATACAGACAAGCGCGGAACAGACAAAACTCGGTTTTCCGAAGGAAGAAGCGTCAGCAGGAAGACCGAGATCGCGAGGCGATGGAAAACCTGTACCGCGTAAACGATACACGGAAGTTCTACGAGAAGCTAAATAGTTCACGCAAAGGCTACGTGCCGCAAGCCGATATGTGCAAGGCCTTGGACGGTAACCTTCTTACGAGCGAGTGTGAGATGATTGAGAGGTTGAAGCAGTACTATGACGAGCACCTCATGAAGCAGCAGAAAACGAAGGTGGCACGGCAACAGACCTTGGAGAACGCGCAGAAGACGACAGGCTACCGGCCCCTGATCTTCAAGAAGTTGAGGAGGAGATCGGCCGGTGAAGAACAACAAAGCAACTGGTGTAGATCAACTACTAAGTGAGCTATTGAAATCCGGTGGTGAAACACTGGACTGGGTGATTGCCAAGATTTGGGAGGAGGAGATATTACCGGAGGAGTGGATGGAAGGTGTCGTATGCCCAATCTACAAAAAGGGCGACAAGTTGGATTGCTGCAACTACCACACGATCACGCTGCTGAGCGCCGCCTACAAGGTACTCTCCCGAATTCTATGCCGCCGCCTGTCACCATTTGCAAGAGAGTTCGTGGGGCAATACCAGGCGGGATTCATGGGTGCCCGCGCTACCTTCAACATCGCGTTAGAAGGTGTGAGCAGAAGAGCTGGGATAGACACGAGTGGTACGATTTCTGGAAGTCCATTCAGCTTCTTTGCTTCGCCGATGACATCGACATCATGGCACGGGACATTGAGACGATGGCGGAAACGTACATCACACTGAAGGCTGAAGCTAGGCGGATTGGACTTGCCATCAACGCATGGAAGACAAAATACACGAAAGGAAGTTCAGATTGACAGTGAAGAAATCGAGGTGGTCGATGAGTTCGTGTATTTGGGCTCACTGGTGACCGCCTAAAACAACACCAGCAGAGAAATTCAAAGACGCATTATGGCAGGGAATCGTGCCTACTTTGGACTCCGGATTACGCTCCGGTCGAATGAAATTCGCCGCCGCACGAAGTTGTCTATCTATAAGACGCTGATTAGACCGATGGTCGTCTACGGCCACAAGACCTGAACTATGTTCGTGGAGGACCAACACGCCCTTGGTATTTTTGAATGGAAGATGTTGCGTACCATCTGTACGGTGGAGTGCAGATGGATGACGGAACGTGGAGGAGGCAAATGAACCGCGAATTGCATCAGCTGCTGGGAAAAACATCCATCGTCCACATTGCAAAAATTGGGCGACTACGGTGGGCTGGGCACGTCGTAAGAATGCCACACGACGACCCAGTGAAAATGGTTCTCGAAAGCGACCCAACAGGAACAAGAAGAAGAGGCACGCAGTGGGCAAGGTGGATCGACCAAGTAGAAGGCGACCTGCGGACCCTTCGCAGACTACGAGGCTGGCGAAGTGTGGCCATGGATCGAGTAGAGTAGAGACGACTTCTTCGGACAACAGAAGACAACAATCCTGATTGGTAAGGTAAGGTAAGTTTTGGAAAATATGCATATTCTAGGACCAGATAAAAACAAAATCACTTCAAACCTCTGAATTTTCAAAAGTCATATGTTCCTGAAGGATATTTCGCTGCAGATCTATTAGGCTTGATTATTGAATGAAATCAATGTGGAAAATGAAATGCTTGTATTGGTAAATGCATTGCATCTTTAAAAATATCCTCAGAAAAAAAATTATCTAGAGATTCCCATGAAAATTCCAAGTATTTTCAGAAATTCTGTTAATTCCCGGACTTCCAGATTTGTTCATGTAGCAGACACCGGGTCATATCACGCAGTACCAGTTTACGATTATGAAGTATTATGAACTATTAAGATAGGGGAAATGGTTCTAATGTAGGCCTATGGATCTAAATTGGGCCCATCGCTAAAAATCTGCTATTTATCAATTTTATCTAGATGAACGCGTCATTGGGACGGTACTAATGGATGGTTTTGGGCGCTATTGAAAATTTAGTCGATTGCTGAATTTATGTATGGACCCAAATTAAGGGCATTTAGGCCGACATTAGAGCCATTTCCCCTATGTCACTAATTATAATTCGAAAATAAATTATGAAATGCTTCTTGACGCCACGATTTTGATCACTTTAACGCCAATTTGATCTTGTATATGTGGCGCCAAATGAAAAAAAAATTACGCCTACTTAGCTAAAATTTTACGACAACAGCACTGGTCTCTCAGTGTTCACTCGGCTAGGATTGGGCTATCTTCAAAGAAAGATCGATCTTATATTGAGCACAGGAAAGAGGTAGCAAACACTTTTAAATCTTACTGTATTCGTAAATATCGGAAACGCAAATAGTGACGTCATTGTAGGGAGTGACGCTGATGTTGACGTCATGCTCTTTAAATTTACCATGCAGTCTGGGGTGAGAGTAAATCGTTTTTTGGATGTACAATTACAGAAATTAACACCTTTTTTTTTTGAAGATCGAAAAGATCGAAAGAAGAGATCAATTTTTTCGATCTTTTCGTGGACAAAGAATCGATCCGAAAAATCGAAAATCGGTTTGAAAAAGATCGATCTTGCAAAGATCGATCCAAGATCGCCCAATCCTATACTCGGCTGTCGACAGAACCCAGACCAGTGACAAGGTCTATACCAACAGCAGCGTTTGACAGTAGGCAGCATGTCCCGGGCTCAAATCATTTATTTTGCTGTGCTGGGCCCGCTGTCACGGTATGACATGTTGCCTACGCGCCTGCCACTGGGCTGACAGAAGCAGACCACTCTCGGTGTGTGTCACGCGATCGTCTGTTTACTCGGCAGTAACCATTGTGTGGTCCTCCCCATTGTTCTTCATCAGCAGTTCTTTCGGTCGATGCGTTATCGACTTAGGAAAGCAACCGTTTCGTGATGAGTGTGTGAGTGCTGACCAGGGCTCTACAATTTCGAAGCTCTAAAATGAACTCCACTTTTGTTTCTCTCATACATACGTGTTCGACGCTTCATTTCTATAACGCCTAGCTAGACTATCAGCAAGAAACGAAAATAAAAAAGAAGGACGCTTGGAAGGAAAGGCTGGCTGTGGAACTTCTCGTCGTTGCTTTGCTCATCGCTTTCAATGTAAATAACGTCGATTTTCTAGTTAAACGAATTTCATTATGGCTTTCAATCCCCTTTCACGAACACTCTATCGCCGCTCTTTCAATTTGTTTAAAATGCGTTATGTCCCGTTTTCGATCATTTTTTTAGATAAATATATGGATGGAAGATAAATTAGAAATATGACGTGTAATCTTCAAGTGTTTTGACGTGAGAAATGCTTTAAATGTGTTATTTCATTTTCCGTCCTATACGTCATGAAACCTCTGTTGATGTGTTTCATGAAAGAGAAAACTATCAAAGTCGAGCGCTCTTTCGCTCATCCATTTCGACGAAGCTTGAAAGGAAGACCAATGGAACGACGGGAGAAAGAGAGACAAGCGATTGAACATTTGTTTGTGCACGCCGACTGAGGTTCTAGAATGCTGCGAAGCTGTCGACTTTAACAGAAAAAGAAAGCCAGCAGTCTCTTCGTCGCATCGATTTGGTCGATTGAAGCTGATATTGTGACGCCCTGGTGCTGACCACGTTTTGCGTACATTTCTGCAATGGAAGCACTCTGTCCCCCGTTGGCGATACTGCCATACAATGAAACCACGGGAAGCGGCTCCCGTTCTGATGGAGGAGTGTTTATTGTGCTGTACCTGTTGACTATAGTTTCAAGATGTTTTGTGTAGTGAACAAGAATTATCGGCTCTGTAAACTAAAACTAAAAAAAATACTGTTTTCCACTAACTCAAGAGAAATTCAAAAGCATCATTCGAAAAGAGACAGATAGAGCGGTTACAAATCAAACCCAACGTAACTTACCTCCACAAGCAACGTTATCCGCCGTTTGGGATTCGGCCAAGCGGTGTAAGTAGGCTGCAACGACGTCACAACGAACAGGCTCGACGAACGCCAGAAAGATCTAGGAAGTAGCGTTGAAACCGCCGTGGTGGGACGATGATGGCCTTGGTGGTGCAGGTTCACACTACTAGTGTATCGGTGCCACGGCGGAAGACTGATTCGGATGGCTGGGATCTACACGCGGTGGGTAGAACGGTGGTTCTTTCGATGGGGACCTCCGGGGCGGCGACGCTGGCCTGGCATCCTTGGGCGGTTCCTTTCGGTAGCAACTCTCCGGTAAGGAGAACAAGTGAGGCTGGTACCCGAAATTGTTCAGTAAAAATGGAAGCGTCGATTCGCTGCTAGCTGCATAAGGCGGAAGCAGATAGGGCGGAAATTCGTGCCGGGAGTACAGACTGGCCAGTTCCACCGCGGGACGGGGTGTAATATGAAAGGGAAATGGTAAACCACTCGGCTCCAGGCCGGAGTATTTGTGGATTCCGCTTTTGAAAAGATCTAGCTGCTCAATGGTGCTCTTTGGTACATGTGGAAGTGGTTTCTCCTTGGCAGCGGCGTAGTAATCTACGGCCGGTTCGTCCTTATGCGTAGCTTTTCGACTTCTGGCCACGCTGTAGTGGTGATGGTGGGCTTCTAGCCCGTTCACGTAGCCATTTTCCTCCGGTTCCGCGTGGTCCGGACGCGCCTCGATGTCCTCTGCTGGACTGAACTTTTTACTCTTTCGGTTGGCAACGCTGTCCGAACCAGCATGCTCCGGCTGTATTCTACTCTGGCCGGCTTCCTCGAACCTGGATTCCTTTGCCTTGGGGCTGGGCTTCCCGAAGGCCGTCACTTCGTCGTCGACGGTGACGATCGGTACTTTGGTAGATTTGGTGTCCAGATTAAGCACGCCTCCGTCGTGGCGGGGCGATCGCGACTGGGACCGGGACCGGGAACTGCTACATGGCGAACGGGATGCGGACGTGGTTCGGGTTACCGAAATGGGGAAATCGTACCTCGGGTGCCCGTACATTTGGACGTAGTTGGTCCACTCTTGGTTGCCTGTTCGAGGTTAGGGGGAGTTAGGGGAGCAGAACAAGAAAGGTCATATTATTTGCTTGAAATGGTTTTTTTTTTTTTTTTTGATGAATGACAGAATTTAATTTTGTAGGTGGAGACTTGTTTATATTGTGATGGTGAATGCAATAAGCATAATCGGTAGAACGTTCAAAGCCACTTTCAACAATTTTCCCTTTGAATATATTATTTACCTTGTCGGGTCAACGTCGATTTGATAGATTTCAGTAAGGATTTTTACATACAATAGTCCCAGTAAACGCTTTCGACGCGCATTATTAAAAAGAACAAAATTCAATAAATTTGTATATACGTTAGTGTACCCGGGATAATTATGGTATCTTAATCGATCTGAATAATTGTTCACTTACCTGGAGAGAGCGTTCTACTGCAAATAACATCTGTTGCTCTGAATTGAAATATATTTCGTTTAATTAATACGGTAGATGCGGTATGGGGGGTTGTGTCGGAATAGCTCTCCAAAAGTAAAGTAGATTTGCATATTTGAAACTTAAAATAAGCCTAGTTAATTTCCCTTCAGATGTTAGTGCTGTTCTTAATGGTGACACCGATCGGAAATTACGCTTACTCTTCCGCTAATTGTTGACAGAGGATAGTGCGGTCAAAACATGTATGGTACCTCAATATATGCTGCTAGATTAGTATCCGGAGCCCCTCCTTTTTTTTACATATTCTACGACAAAAATGCTTACCAAGCTCCGACCCTCGATGGGAAATCTAAATGCATAAATCAGGGTTCCAACATTTTTTTCAGGGCTAGGTATTATATTTTGAAGTCTGTGAAAGGGAAATCACATATCGTGTGGCATCGATAAACATGGCATGTTGAGAGATTGAGCTCGTGAGAGCGAATTTTCTCTCTCAACTTTGAATTGTTTGCCTCTCTGGGGACTGTTAGTAAAGCAGGTAAAACTGTATGGGGAAATTGTAGCTTGTTTAACAATAATATCCGGGAAGTAAATGAACGACGCTTTCTTTGACCTGAATCATGGTGATGAATCTTCCTACCATCGGAACAGCGCCATCTCTGTAGAAAATAGCCTGACGATATGATTTATTAATTTCCCTTAAAATTTTCACTCCTTTGCACCTATAGTTGCGGTAGTGTTCCTGTTATAGTGGAACCCATAAGAAACTAATACGTTCCACTATTAAAGGAACCAAAGTTAGCAACTACCACTCCTACTGGAACAGTGTTCCTATTAATGAAGGACATTGTTATATTTTTCTAGCAAAAATGAGATTGAAAGCTCTAGATTGACGTATGCAAATTGAAGGTACATCATTTATTAATTTTTTAATAAATAAATTGCCTTAGTTCCTACACTACTGTCTCACCCACCCTATGGCAATAATATTTTATCACAGACAACCAGGCATTCCTTATGTTGTAAAAATGATTTAAATCAGAACATCGTCGATCTGTTTGCCGCACAATGATGGGCTTTGACCTGCTCTGTCAACTAACAAAAACTTAAAGAACCGTTAAATGAGTGCAGAATGAACAAAATTTTGAATGTTATTCACAGGGCAAAACTACTTTGGTATTTTTGCAAATATCATCAAATATTTCTTAATATCAACTCCCGCCTGATGTGTAAATTACGGTATGTGCCTATCGTGACCTATTTCCACAACTGTACCAGCCATTAAAGCACCCCGATTTATGAAAAAAAAAAAATCAAAAGTTTAAAAAGAATAAAACACTGTTCCTCACATGTCGCAGCGCTGGGAAGCAACTAATTCCTCCACGAACAAGTCAGTGTCAATTTGACCGAGTGCAAAAACAATGGCACATATAAGTGAACAGATGGTTGGAAGCATGTCAGAAGCCTTTCGCAGATCTATTGACTTTTACTTATTATGCAAACATTTACAGTTGAAGAAATCAAGCGATGATGATCTACATTGAAAAAGCAAATACGAATGGGATTATTCTTCTAGTTGGAACTGCATTGATTTCGAGTCCTTTGAATGAGGATAAATGACTCTAATTTGGAAAATCCAAATGACTATTATTGAGTCCTTATAAAAATTAATCAAAAATGCTTCATTTCTGAAGTTTAACATGGGCGCAATATATATGGACGCTTAGGCCTACATTAAGATCAATAGGAACCACTAAGACAAAACCTCAAATTTTGTCTCGGAATTTCAATTTAACTCAACTTTTTGTAGAATAAAAACGTTTGTTATCCAAGACAATCTCGTTTTTGATATTATCTGAAAAAAAAAACAAATTAGGCCCTATTTTTTGTTTTCATTAGTCTCGGTTCCTTCCGGGGTTCCTAAAACATGATCATTTTGGTCATAAAACATTGGCACTTCAAATGACTACCATGGACATAGGAGTAATTCAATAGGTCCTATCTGCATTGATCGATTCCCTTCATCGACTTTCTCTTTCGCTAATCACTCAGTTGCAAAACTTTTCCCTGTTGTATTTGACGTTTTGGGTGCTAGATACGAACCTCCTTTATGAAACTGTTTGGCAACCAAAGGTTATCAAAAGCGAAAGTCCCAAAAATAGATCGAAGCATGAAGGACCTTTCGAAATTTTTATCGAGATTTTCAGGGTGGGAATCACTCCAAAAAAAAACAACGGAGATATCAGCCATATTGATCGGATAAGCCATCTAGGAGAAAGCTCAGAAGCACCTACAGGCATCAGCAAATTTCGGTTTGCCGAGCCAATTTCTCATACTCAATTTAGTTCTACGATGTCGTAATCGAACTGTCGAATAAGAGCGAATAAAGATCCAACGATTGGGACTGCTTTGTACAGGTGAAATAGTTTGTGTGGCTCGCTATTTTTCGCAAAGGAAAAGTCAAGTTGAATCTAATTTTAAAACCTTAGTTATACGAAAGGATAACAAAGGCAAAACTAACACCATTCGTCGTGAGGAATCTAGCATAAACTAATCAAAATCTGATTGTTTTTGCGTAACGCCAGGTAGGAGAGCTGTTACTCAAATTCGATTAAAATTAGAACTTACATTCCGAAGATATGTTTTAGCCTTCAAAATTCAGATCGACTTTCCCAAAAAATAGGGTTTAGTGATTGAAATACTCCAAACTGTTGAGTAGCTACTATTCTAAACTATACTACTATTCTAAACTAGATTAAGTGCATCCCATACAAACAGAAGTACAACTTTAGCAATTAAGTCCATAAATGTGCCTTTTCATAACATCATGGGATGCTTCTATCAACGGATGGAACTGAGCTGGATCTAAATTTAAAGATGATTACTATGTCATCATACAGCTCTAATCTATTTGAATAACCTTGTCAATTGATTTTCTTCGATATAATGCTTCTATCAAAAGATAGAGCTGATCAAGATTTGAAAAAGTGATCTAGATCAAACCCATCAATGCCAATAGATAGCTTGTATTCACATGAACAACTTTGCTCAAGGTTTTGTTTCGATAATATGCTTCTACCAAAAGATAGAACTGATCTAGATCAAAACAAAGTTGAAATCAAGATCTGTTCTAATCGTATCAAAAGACAGCTCTTAACTATCAGGAAAATTTGGAGAAGATTCTGATTGCTGTTAAGCCAGCTGTTAAAGATAAGAATATAGAGATCTAGATCAAAATGAATGATGTCAACACATAGATCCTATTCATCTGAACAACTTTGCCCAAGACACCAAACCTCTATGATTTGAAGTTTAGGAGTTATGAAGTTTTGTCCAAAAAGATGCTTCTACCAAATGATAGAAATGATCTAGATCAAAATAATTTATCATAATTTCTAATCGTATCAAAAGATAGCTCTTAACTATCTGATTTTTTTTAAAGATTTTGTTTCAATAGCTTACTTTCTCAAAACATAGAGCTGAACTAGATCAAAATGTAGTGATCTAGATAAAAAAAAAAGATATCAAAACATATGGTATGATAGATCCTCTTCACCTGAAAAACTTTACCCAAGCCACCAAACATCTATGACTTGAACTGAAGGCGTTATGAGGTTTTGTGCGATAAGATGCTTCTACCAAAATATAGAACTGATCTAGATTATAACAATTTAGTAATCAATGTCAGTTCTAATCGTATTAAAAGGAATCTCTTAACTAACTGGCAAATTTTGGAGAAGAATTTGTTTTCATAGCGTGCTTTCTAAAAAATATACAGGTAATCTAGATTTTAATGTAGTGATCAAGTTCAAAACGAATGATATCAAAAGATAAATATCATCCACCTGAACAATTTTGTTTAAGACACCAAACCTCTATAACTTGAAATTGAGGAGTAATGAGGTTTTGTCCGATAAGATGCTTCTACTAATAGATAGAACCGATCTAGATCAAAATTTAGCAATCAAGGTTAGTTTTAACTGATACCAAAGAAAAATCGTATCGATCTGGAAAATTTTGGAGAAGATTTTGTTTTAATTGCGTGCTTCCTCAAAATAAAGAGCTGATCTATATCAAAAAGTAGTGATCTAGATTAAAACGAATGATGTCAAAAAATAGATCTTTTTTACCTGCACAACTTTGTCAAAGACACCAAACCTTTATGACTTGAATTTGTCTGAGGTTTTGTTCGATAAGATGCTTTTAAAAAGATAGAACTGATCTAGATCAAAATAATTTAGTAATCAAGGTCAGTTATAATGGTATCAAAAGATAGCTCTTATCTATCTAGAAAACTTTGGAGAAGATTTTTGTTTTGATAGCGTGCAGTCGCAAAAGATAAAACTGAACTAGATTGAAATGGAGTGATCTAGATGAAAATGAATTATGTCAAAAGAAAGATCTTATTCTCCTGAACATCTAGACCTATCTGGAAAACTTATGAGAAGATTTTGTTTTAATTGTGTGCTTCCTCAAATATAGAGCTGATCTAGATCAAAAAGTAGAGATCTAGATCAAAACGAATGATACCAGAAGATAAATATTATCCACCTGAACAACTTTGTTGGCGACACCAAACCTCTATGACTTGAAATT